ATATTTCTATGGAGAATTTGTGCATGTGTTATTGATATACATATGTACTTATTTATAGCGTGGTATTCTACATATGTACGTACATACATATGTACTATATACACGGTGACCATTCGTACCGATTTTGGCGGGACAGTACCGATTTTGAGAAAATTGTCCCGCTGAATATTTTTTAAAAGACGGGACTATAAGTGTCTCGACTTTTCATATTTGTACCGATTAAGTCCGGATTTACAAAGTTTTATCAAAATTTTGAGCTTTTTAAATATTTTTCTTAGAAACTTTCTGAGTATGCAGTTTTGTAACTCATTCAATTCTAGTAAAACGAAGTGCAAATCTGGTAAATTTGTTTGTGGAAGATGATGGCCATTTTCCCCGCACAAAAAAATTTGGAACATACTTTTGTGGAAGAAAATGCGCGAAAAAAAATTGCCTAAAATCAACGGTAAGTCCAAGCTATGCACTTTGTTATACCCGAGCGCATTTGTGCACAAGGGTATTATAACTTTGTTCACATAACGGTTGTTTGTAACAGGCAAAACGAATCGAGATAGATATAGACAAATGTATACATAAATGATCAGGATGAAAAGAATCGATTAAGCGGTGACTGTCTGTCCGTCCGTCCGTACGTCCGTCCGTCCGTCCGCCTGTGCACACCTTTAACTCGAGTAAAATTTGAGATATCGTAACGAAACTTGGTATGTGCACTTCTTTCGGGCACAGGACGGATGGTATTGAAAATGAGTAAAATTGGACAATAACCACGCCTACTTATGGTTACATGTGTATATCTTGGTAACCGCTACACCGATTTCTTCCAAGCTTGGCACAGTTGTTAACCTTGGTATAACATACGAAATGGCTGAAAATTTTAAAATCGTACAATAACCACGCCCACATCCCATATAACGGTAATTTAGAGAAATACGAAATCTTCGATAAATCAGTATTATTGAAGCTAATTTATTCAAAATTGATGCTTGCAACAATTCTTTATCAAGAAATACGTGAAGGATAAAATTTTTAAAAATGGGCGTGGCACCGCCCACTTATGATCACATATATGTATGTATCTCGGTAACCGTTCTACCAATTTATACCAAACTCGGTGAGGTTATTGTGCTTGCCACATAGAAGCAAAACTTTGAAAATTATTGAAATCGAACTAAAATTGCGGCCGCTTTTCATATAACAGTAAATTTCAGAAATGCTTGAAACTTCAATATTTCGAAATTTAAGGACGCTAATTTACTCAAAATGGATACACCCCGGTTTACCATGTAGCGGTAGCTTTCGGAAAGGTGAAAAACATATATTTAGTACTTCGGCCGGGTATTTAATGTTCGGCTCCGCCAGAACTTAGACTTTCTTACTTGTTATACTAAAATTAGATGGGAAAAAAAATTGCATGCTCAAAAGAACTCTAAAAATCTGATTAAAAGGTTTAAAATTTTATCAACATTTGTCAAAATTGTAAATGTTGTACAAAATTTTAAGTCTTTATATACAGTTTTTGTTAAATATTTTATATTAGACATTATATATTTTCATAAAAAGGTCATAAACACTATTTAAATATAGAAAAGTAGCCAACACTTTCTAAAATATATTTTCCCTATTTATATTCTTGCCACCGTACATATTGTGTGTACATATTTTTGAGTTCAGTTCTTTTGCTCTTTGCTTTGTCTTAAATAAAACTGTTTTAAGGGATGTTATTGCTTTTTATTCTCAAAACAAAATTGTATGTTCGGATTCGATGCTTTAGAAGTGTCCCGATTTTGTTCCAGAGAAATCTGGTCACCTTAACTGTATACCAGCATTTGAAATTGAAGAAAACATACATTTTTTAGAAATTATATAATTCAACACTCAATAAGCTAACTGGGGAGATTTGTAAGTAAACTTTGCCAATAAACTATTTGAGGCAGTCGCTCCGTCGCTCACAACATGGCAAATCACCAATGCACTAGATGAAAAGCCATCTTGATTTCAGATTAATACAAACCTGAGTTGGATTTGATGCTTTGATTACCAAAAAATGTTACCAGTTCTTGTCATCGCGATTCTAGGTACGTTGGTAATGCAGTTAAAATATTCAGCGATTCGGGGCAATACTTTGTTACCAGCTTATGAGATGGTAACAAAATTTACCGGATACAAGAGTACACAGAATGCGAAAAGAGTTTAAAAATTGACGGGAACTTTATTTACCGGTTACAAACTTTTTATTACCAACGTAGTATAGACCTGTTAGAGGCTTTTTTACGAGTGATAATTTATGTGAGATTCCTTTAACTTAGGCAGAGTGGGATTGTGGCCAAAAAATTAAAAATTAAAAATTGTGTATATATAAGGGAAGTACATGCGAGACAAAAGTAGTGGAGATTTTAATTTAAATTAATGGTGGTGTATTTGCGCTTTAAATTTGTGTTCGGATGTTACTCGTAATTTTGAGATGATCATATACATAAGTCAACAGATTCCTGCAAATTTGCATGTAGAGAGAACCCAATTTATGTTTAAGTATACTCTGAAGGATAAATAACGAAGTTAACAAAATGTATTATAAAAAACCAAACTGAAAATTAGACTAGCTTTTAACTCATTATTATAAACATATATTCGTTGCGGGCGTCCTCATCGTACCAATTGTTCTTTCGGGCTAGCTGAAATCCAGCTGCTTCTTTGTCGGCGGTATTTCATGAACGGGAAATGTAGTTCCACTGCTCGCGTATGTCGGTTTATGGAAGAGTGCTCTCAGAGAGCAGGTGTGACAGTAGAGTGGCTAATAAATTAGCGGTCTGTTGTGATTGCAGCATTTCGACATTAAAATTTCCTTGCAATTTTGTGCGCAAATTCTTTGTGGCGCAGAGGCAGGTGCGTATCTTGGATAGAAGATAGTGGTCCAAGTCGATGTTTGGCTCTCGGAGTGTGCGTATGCACATCTAAAACACTGGAAGTGTGCCTTTCGTTTATCGCAACATGCTCGACTTGGTTTCCCGTTTGTCTATCTGGAGATAGCCATGTAGCTTGATGGATCTTTTAATGCTGGAACATAGTACTACATATTACCATGTTTCGGGATTCGGCGAAGTCGATTAACCTCAGTCCGTTATCGCACGTTTCGTCGTGGATGCTGTATTTTCCGACAGTGGCGCCAAAGATCCCTTCCTTGCCCACCTTGGCATTAAAATCGCAAGGTAGAATTTTTATATCATGTCGGGAGACACGGGCATTATAACCTTGTTCACATAACGGTTGATTATAGCAGCCAAAGCGAATCGAGACAGATATAGGGAAATGTATTCATAAATTATCGGAATGAAAAAAGAAATCGATTAAGCGATGACTGTCTGTCCGTCTGTGCACACGATAACTCGAGTAAAAATTTAGATATCTTAACGAAACTTTAACTTCGTAGGTATGTGTACTCCTTTTAGCGTAGAACGGATGGTATTGACAATGGGCAAAATCGGACAATAACCACGCCCACATCCCATATAACGGTAATTTAGAAATTTTCGATAAATCAGTAAATACGGAAGCTAATGTATTCAAAATTGATGTTTGCAATAAATCTTTAGCAAAAAATACGCTTATGATAAAATTTTGGAATTGAGTCCCTTTATGACCACATATGTATGTATATCTCGGAAACCGTTCCGTCAGTGTGTACCGAACTCAGTACAATTTTTGTACTTGCCATATAAAAGCAAAACGTTAAACATCATTGAAATTACGACCACTTTTCACATAACGGTAAATTTTAGAAATGCTTGAAACTTCGATATTTCGAAATGTAAGTACGCTAATTTACTCAAAATTTTTACTGGCAATAATCGCTTGATAATAAGTAACATTATTATAGAGTTTTCGAAAATGGGCGTGATACCGCCTCATATAACTACAGTAGTAACTCGGTTATTGCACATAATGAAAACCAGGCTCGGTGCAAGTTGCGAAGTAGTCGCAAGCACTGAGTTTTAATTTTCCTTTTAAAATAAAGGGGCCTTATGTACTGACATGCATGAACTTTTTTAAAAATATTTTTTTTTGTGTTTAATATTTCAATTCAAAAAACACATGTATTTCAAGTGGATTTAAAGAAATTTAAAATTTTTGTTTGTTTTGCGCAAGCTCGCTTGTTCAGTACTACGCTGCTTCTGAGTCTCCGGAGCGTCACAATATCGTCAAAAGAAGCAGTGCTTTGCTCCACCAAACTTTTTAAAAATACTGCAGCATAAAACGACGGGACTTCCCCGAACTTCACTCATTCTAAGGGCCGGTTGTTCAATATCTGGTTAACACAAATTGGAGGTATAAGCTCCGGTTAAATACAACGGCTGCTTTATAGATCACATGTTATATGCATCATGTCGAAATCGTCGACAATGATGTACAACTGGGAGGTAGTGATAACCAGACATTGAATCACCGACCCTAAGAGAACGTTAACAAAAGCAGCATAAAACGACGGTGCTACCCCGAACTTTATTCAGTCTATGATAACGTTTACAAACGCAGTAGGGCCAAAATGTAACAAGTATCGAGACCATAATTTTTGGATGTCACAGTCCTAAGTACGTAATGGAAAATATTTCTATGTTGCAAGAATCGGGGTGCGCAAGTACCAAATATGTGCAAGAATCGAGTTACTACTGTATATAAGTTTATCTTAACTGAACATACTATCGAAATTTGTATAAATAGGGTTAAAACCGCTCTGCTTACCAAGTAACGGTAATTTTCAGAAAGGTGAAAAACTATATTTAGCACATGCACCGGGTATTTAATGTAATTTTTTTACTGGCTATATTTAAGTTTAGCTAGTTGAACTGCTCTCACTTTCTGCTGCACTTTTTTTGCTGATAAAAACTTTGTATGTCGTACAAGTATCGAAACATTAAAAAAGCATTTCTTGCCACACATCATCGCATCGATAGGCAAACATATTTAAATACAAGAACAGCTATACTAATCCTAATCGCCCACAGGTGTGAATACAAGAAAGCAAAGACGTGAACGAACAACATTTACGCGCGCCCAACTGGATGTGCTGGAGGCGTTATTCGGCAAGACCCGCTACCCGGACATCTTTATGCGAGAGGAAGTTGCGCTGAAAATCAATCTACCCGAATCCAGAGTGCAGGTAAGCTAACTAATCTAAAGCTTAAGTAGAAGATACATACAAAAGTTTAGCTTAAGCGTGATGTAACTGTAATGCATGAATACCCACAAAAGCAAATAGGCATTTAAAAAATAAGTACATACATACATACGTACGAACACAAGTGAATGCAGTCAAAGATTTGAAGCATAAAAACATATGTTTGTATATATGTGGCACTAACATGTTTGCTTTTAGCGGGTGTAATCACACTGCTATGCGCCTAGAAGCTGGCAACGCCATCAAGCATTTAATGTCATAATCTAACGACTTTTCATTGTTTGAACGAATGTGAGCGCGCACTCACATACGGTAATTATTCATTTGTAACGCATTTTGCCTTCTGCGGGCCAAAAGCAAATAATTTCCGACAATTACGTTAATGTCAAAAATCCGGAAAATCCATTGGGTAAACAATGCAACCGTACGCACAACTTTAGCCATCTTCGTAAAAACATAATTACATACATACATATGTTTGCATATAAATATGTATTAGTATGAGTTGGCTGTGTTTGCATATGCTGGTGGCTGTTAGCTCTTGGCAGAGTTGGCAAAATGTTAAAAACAAATCGTGCGCCACTGACGCACTGATTTTTACAACTTCACTTCAACTCTTCAGTGCCGCTCTCCACGTACGCACTCTGTTCTTGCTGGAGCAGCTAAATGCTGCTGCATATCCTGCTGTGCAAATACCGCGTCAGCAAACATACGCATATCCGACGACACAAGCGGTTCATGCGTTCCCAGCCTGCTTGGCGGCGAAATGCGATTTATGCCACTGTCCATTGTGAATTTTGGTAGCCGAAAGCTACAAATTGAATGACAGCAAACGAAAATCTGCGTTGGGATCGGTGACAGCAGAGATTGTTTTTGGATGCTATTCTTGGTCTGATTGTGTTTGTGTGATGACAGATTTTGCTTGTGTACTTTTATATGGCAAGCAACCCTCTATGAGCCCATGGAGTAGTTTTTGTGGCAGGGTGCTTTGATGCTGCAGCAGGGCTGTTCAGTTGTTTCCTTTCGTTTTTGGGCTTGTTTGTTTAGTTGTTTACACAGAAACGTTGACAAATTTCTGCTAACAATAATATAAATAGTACACTGTTAGAAAAATGGCACAAATTGTGCGTTGGCGTCTTCAAAGCAGCGAAAGATGGAACGGACCAAGTTACAAGCGGCTAAAAAATCGCCTTGATTTTTAATAATTTTTTTAGTGACGATTTTTTTAAATATCTAACAAGTACAAATTTTAAAAAAGGCGTTGACTTTGGCTGACTTTCAAAACGTCAACATCAATTGCATACCCAAAAATGTTGTAAAGAATCGCAGTTTTAAATGTTGATCAATCTTTGTTGAATATTCCTTAATTCCTAAATTTTGTATAAGGTGTAAACAGTGGTCGGACTATTGAAATTCAACTCTGCAGTAAAACACTCTCGAAATCAGTGTAAAAACCAAAATTTCTGTAGTACATAGATTTGCATTTGTTATTTTCGTTTTCATGCGGAACATGAATTTGAAAATTTTATGAAGAAGAATCAATGGCAACATACATACATTCATACTATCAATATTTAGCCCGGACTGAAGTTAAAGCGCCTAAAAGCTAATAAGGCCCTATATTGAATTCAAAGGATACGTACTTAAAGAAGGACAGACAAAATTTCAATCTAGCGTTAAAATAGCTAAAGACGAAAAACCTGAAGAAAAATCTGAAGAATTTTGTTTTTTATTTCTGTTGCTCGGAAAAGCGCTGTGCCTTTGCTGTAAATCTTGTTGAAGAAGTAAATACACGAGAAAATATCATTAGAGCAAAAACAGCAATTACGTGTATTTCGTTTTTGCTTCTGGTATCTAAAGTGTAAAAAAAAAAAATATTACAAATTGGTGCTACCTCCTTTCTTTATAAATTTGTTTAATTCCAGAAGCATCAACACATCGTTTTTAGGGGGGACGAATAATCAGCGTTTATGCTCCTGAATTAGGCAAACCGTTCCAAAGGCTGCCACTATAATTTGCGAATTAAGAATTTATGTGAAACAAATTTATGAATATTTGACAGTTTAGAGACTGAAGAATAAAAAAAAATGAAATCAGCTGCTCTCCGCATTCTTTCTTTAAAGCTGTAAACGGATTTAAGAAATTTGGATAGAAGAAAATTTCTTTTTCATTTCTTGAGCGTTATTTTATATGAATTTCTTGTTCTTCTTGAGAACGTGTGCAGTATACTATGCTAGAGATTGACTTCGAAAACGCAAAGCTGGGCTGAATTTACACATTTTGAGTACTTTGCTTAAACTGCCTCAGTATACCTTGTTACAAATCCTCAAAACTCAAAAGATAGCAGCCAGATATTTTGGCCCCTATTTACTTACTATACCAGTAATTTTTTATAAAAAAATAATCTAAACAATCTTGTCAATGTCTGCTGCTCTTGAGCACAGAGCATAATATACAATACTAGCGGCCCGGTACGTGCTTCGCTACGTATAAAGTGAAATATTAAATCAAACTCATTTATAAAAAAAAAAAATATATTTAATTATTTGCTAGCTATTTTAAAACTTAATCTAAAACATTTGGATAAACAATATTTTTTGTTTTTCAATTTTGAGCATGAATAAACAAACGGCTGGGGGTACCGACTCTGGAACAGGCAACATAAAGTTGGCCATGTGAAAAACATGATTCCTCCAAATTCACACCACAAACGTTAAGTGTTTGCCCTTGAGCTTTGTTGATGGACATCGCAAATGATAAACGCACAGGATATTGTAATCGTTTGAATTCAAATGGCATATCAGTTGGAATCATAGGGATACGCGGTATTAAACAAACTTCTCCTTTTGATTTACCAGTTAAGATGTAGCTTCAATCAAATTTGGCAATAAATTTTTCACTGCCAATCTGGTGCCATTACACAGTTTTGGTGGATTAATATTTCGCAATAATATAATCAAAGAACCCACTTTCAGATTCAAGCAGTGCGGTGGCATACCAGCCGGTTCTAATGAATTTAAAAATTCAGTTGGATAATTCATTGCCTCATCTTGATTCATAGCACTGTCAATTGATTTATATGTCGTGACTACACCTGGGAGTTTTGCTTGAATTTGAAAATTAATGGCATTGATATGAATGTTCTTCGGTGCTAAAATGGCGCGTTCTCTCAACCAATCATGATTTCTGTAATTCTGAAGAATATTTGGAAAAACACATTCAATCAATTCATCTATCGATTTCGTAATTGTACAAAAATTGTTCGGTACAGTGATCAATCCGTTGGTTCTGTCGATTTGTATTTTGCCATCACCAATTTGTAACAATTGTTTTGAAAACTCATGGGCAGCTGGATCATTTTGTAGGTGAATACGCATATTAATGTTCAGTGTAAATTTTTGTACATATCTCCAAAGAACTGATGACTTCAAACAGGCATTTATTTCATCAGCAGGAGTTGACCGAGGAATGACAGGCAATGTTTGTCGAAAATCCCCTGACAGTAATATCAAAGCACCACCAAAAAGCTGTTGGTTACCACGTAAATCTTGCATTGTTCGATTAAATGCTTCTAGTAATTTTTTATTCGCCATTGTACACTCATCCCATAAAATAATTGACGTTAATCGCAGAACTTTTGCCATAGCAGAATTTCTTGAAATATTGCAAGTTGGAGTTTCAATCACCTGTACATTCAATGGCAATTTTAATGCAGAATGTGCTGTCCGACCACCTTCTAATAATGTAGCAGCAATTCCCGAAGATGCAAGTGCCAATGCAATTTTCTGTTCCGATCGAATAGTGGCTAAAATCAGTGATATAACGAACGTTTTGCCTGTACCACCAGGTGCATCCAAGAAATATAACCCACCTGCATTATTGGAAATGGCTTGTATGATTGTGTCATATACATGTTTTTGCTGAATATTCATTTTGGTTATATTCGATTGTACAAATAAACGCAAATCATTAGAATTGAATTCCTGCTCACGTTGCAATTCACGATCAAACAGATCATGCATGTCACGATTTGGTGCGGTCATACCCAATTGTACTAATGTTTTATTTGCAATCCGTAGACACATATCTTCAATTATTATCAAAGCTTCGTTGTACATTTCCAAAGTTATCAACAAATCAGGATTTCTTGCATGATGACGCATACGAATTAAAATATCTTCTGCAATATTATGTTTATATTTATTCCATAATTCAAGTGGATCTGATGGCATACATGTTGATAATATAACGGCAAACAGCATTCGTATTTGTTGAGGATGAGCCGAAATAGATGCATCATGAAGTGTTGAATCCCAATGTGCATCATCCTCCAACAAATGCAAAAGTTGGCATGCTTCACGGTATGTTTCACACAAATGACCGTTGACTGTTCTCAATTCTTGAAATGATTTTGGGCCATTCACGTTAACTAATAACAATCTCAAATAAAAACACTCAACATTGTTTGGATGTACTGTATATATTCTGCCAATTGCATCTGTTTGGAAAATGCCAGGATGCCCATGAACTGCTGTTCCTTGTTTACGTCTTTGAAATTTTTTCGAAGACACATTCCATGTGTAATACTGAGGCACTTCAGAATATAACAAAGTTATCGCAAATGTATCAGTTTCGCATAATTTGAAAAAAGCTGTTAACGTAGTTGCTGGTGGTTGCGCTGCTCTTTCCAATAAATTTGCTACATTAAAATAAACACCTTGGCCATTCTCAAGATGTACAGCCAAGTGAACAACCGCAGGATGTCTTTCGTGCATTGGAAACGACATAATCCTCCATACAGCTTCATTGCTACTAATATAGCGACCCATTTGATACTGAGTAATTTCATCATTTCTATTATCACCAGCAACACCGAAAATAGCCATATCGCTCCCTTTATTTACATACTTGCAAATATATTTAATGGATTTGACAGAATTACAATATTCCACATTTATATGAGCGTTGAATATTTTCGATAA